CAACCTTAAAAATGATGCAACATCTTTTGGCACTTTTGAAATTTTATGTATGCCCATTACAACACGATGACAATGGCCATTTTGATATTTAATAAAAAATCTATCAAAAGTTATGTCTTTTGGCCGAAGAGTAGCATATTTTCTGTATAAATTTAAATAAAACTCTCCAATTATGGTAAATGAACGATGTTTTTTAGTTTTTGTATTGGGAATATTTACTAATATTATATTTCCCAAATCTTTTACATCATTAACTTTTACTTGAATGAGTTCATCGCATCTACAAGCTCCTGTGACTCCAAATATTAGTGCAACCTAAAAAATATAGAATTATTAATTTTGTAACAATAAAAAAAGTTGGAAAATGCAAGGAAATTCTAAAACATGACGTAATTTTAAGACATCTATATTTATGAGTTTTTACAACATTCTTCCAATGAGCTATCTTTATTTCCGAAAATTGTTTATTATTCTCGTAATGGATACTATAAAATAACTTGAAGTTTACAAATTATAACAAAATTTTGTATTACAAATATAAAAAGGTTAAATATGTATCTACCTATAATTTAAAAAGTACATACCTTGGTTGCTAAATATTTATCATCAGGTGCTTTATTCAGGAATTCGTCAAATTCTTTTTTAGACAAAACTTTCGACTTTTTTGGTTTATAATTTTCACCTTGTCGTTTCAAAAATGTAATTAATTTTGAATATTTCTCAATATTTACATTGTGTTCTATGTTTAATTTAGATTTTACCATTGAATATTGCGCCCATAAAGTTGAACTTTTCAGTGTTCTGGATAATCTTGTAAAATATGCTATCATCACATTTTCTGAATAAATATGTGCATTATTTTCTTTTGCCCAATTTATGAATTTATCATAAGCATTTTCATAAATTTTTCTCGACTTTGTTGGTATAAGTGTTGCCACTGATGTATTTGCAATTTCCAGTAATTCTGGTGGTGTGCACTGCATTTCTTCAGACATTTTAAAAACGACCCGACGCGACATCAAATTTCAACTGACACTTAATGAAACGTCAAAGCTTCTTGAATCTTTAATTCGTTGCTAGGATACTTACCTACACATTGTTACATTTTTTTACTAGTTAAAAAATGATAAATATTTGTACTAGTTAAACAATAGGCTGCTTCTAAAGGAGGTGTTGCACTATATAATATAAATATTATTATACGCTTGAAGAAAAAGTTAATTAGAGTTTAAAATATTACTGAGAATGTATGCGTTGTTTTTGAGACATCCATCAATAAGTTTTGACATAAGCCTACTTTTAGAAAAGTCACTTATTTTCTTCACCGTAATATTGTAAGAGTTCAATTAAAAGCCTTTTTTCTCGAAAACCGTCCACATTAGAAAGTTCTAACAAGAGTACATTCTTTTTAGAAAACATAATTGTACATTAGAAATTGGGGCCCGAATGGTAAAAAACCTAACCTTAACAAAATTAGAACCTAAAATGTAATAGGAATGTAGCGTAACTAGCGCAATCTATGAAATATCCAAAAAATAATTAGACCAGCGTATTTGGTGTTCTTAAAACCTCGGAATACCAAATTTCAAAAAATATTTCGCACCGTTTGGAAATTTTCGTAAAAATTCTATTTAAAAAAATTTATTTTGTGGCTCTGTATCTCGAAAACAAGAGGAGATAGACATATAGTTCATAAGACAAAAAACTCTTATTTTTTGTCGTACTATCGCCCCCTGAATTTACGGGAGGTCTTTCTGAAACACCCTGTATAATAATTATAATGTTCAATTTGAACACATAAGTGGAATTTGGGTTATATTTTTAATATGAAGGAATTGTTTTTTTTTAATTTTTGGAAAAGTAATTAGATTTCTATATTTTTACCATGTTTTTAAAGTAATTAAACACTGAGGTTTATAATACCTCATAATAGATATTACCCAAAACCTCGCCCAAAACATATCAACAAAACTGTTCTAATAAATTAATAATTACTGTTTATGTTAATATATTTATGAATGCTCACATTTCTTAAGATGCTCTGGAATTCGGTGTAGACTGTAGGCATCTTATTACGCATTGTTTATTTTCTGCTACGACAAAGTACGAAGAAAGGTTCGGCGGAATATTATTTTTTACTTATTAAAATTAATGACCGCCGAAGATCGATGTAAGAAGACATTTAACAACTGTGTCAAGTTCATTGCCGGCTCTACTTCTTTCCAATCTTACAAGGTTAATTCGTTATACATATAACGCCATAATCTTATGCTTGATACTTTCACGAATTCGACTAAAGAGCGAACGTAAAAAAATTCAATTAGGTGCATGTAATAAAACAATCTCAATTGCGTAGGTATGAAAATAAAAATATTCCGTCGTGTTATAAAATTTGGTGACATAGTTTACTTTGGAATATCACGACTTGATCGACGGAAACGATTCATTTCGTCCATCATCCTTTCGCGTGTGCAATCATTGCAGGACTGTACGGAATTATGCATTTGTTTCATAATTTATGGCGAGAATGATCTTTTTCCATCATCATCTAATTGTTGATATGGTAGAATCGATTTTTAATAGTTTATTCACAAGGCCGTGTACAACGATCTATCTATCTATCGGCATTAAAAAATATTTATTCGAGAGGTTTTGCAACAAAACACTCTACTCCCCTATTGGTGTCAGATATTTTACCATTTCTGTCTAGTAGTTCACCTTCGACGTTTCGGAGGGATTAGAAATTTTCTAGTGATGAAATAAACAGGTGTTACAGAAATTATGTCCTATTAAAACTAGATGCGAAAGCACAAGAATTGTTTTAAGTGAGACAAAATCTCAGGTTCGGCTTTTGATATAATTGTATGAAATTGTAACAAAGGAAACTGTTGATACTGATGTTAGTCATATAACGCTTATAATAATTAGCTATCTCTCAACAAAATAAATGTAATTACATAGTAGCTAATCCGGATATTAAAATTTTCAATCAGAAACTTAAGATGCGCATCGTTGGTATTAACCTTAAGTCAAGGAAGATGAAAAACTCGAAAATTTACGTAACCTCAGTAACACAGCTTCTTTTTAAATAAAATAAACATCAACATTGGTATCAGTATCTAAATATATTCGTTTAGAACCATTAACAGCACTGCAACAAATCAGTAAAGTCGTACACTTTCAGGTTTAGTTTATAAATAGAGAACTGTAACTTTGAGCAGTCGGCCATATTGAAAAGAAGTAGATTCTTCTCTGCTCTATTGGTGTATGGCTGCGCGTTTTCGGGTTAAAATAGCTACCTTTACAATGCCTATATCTATTTTCTATAATATGGTGCAGAAAATACAGGGTGTTCCAATTGAATTTATTTATATAAGGAATTTTCGAAACGCTTACATCTGTTAAAATTTTTATTAAATGTCGATTATCCCGAAAACGGTTAGATTTAGGAACTGGGAACATTTTTGACTTATTTTTAAGTTATCTTGTCGATAATGCGATAATATACATGCTGTTACAAATTTGCTTCTCACTATAGGGATCTCGGAAACGGTAAGAGATACGAAGTAGCTTAAAGCAAAGTTGCATAATCAGGGGACTAACATTATGCCTCTAAGAAATCAAGGCTAACATGATTAGTTTTCGAAATATTTGAAAAATCCGTTTTCGTTTCATTTCGGCCTTGTTTGAGGTGAAATTGAAAAAAGAAGAACACTTTCTCATTGCAACTTTTTGCTCGCAATCGAATGGCATAATCAATTTTTATATTTTAACGTTTCGTCTCTCTATTACCACCATCAAATTCATTTTTTTTAATACGACCCTGAAAATTTTACTACATTTTTATAGTCTTTATGACCCCCAATACTGTACTGCCTCAATCCGAACCAGATTCTGACGTTTTGTCTCGAAAAATTAATCTTCAATGTACATATTCGTTCTAAATTTATCTAAATTAGATGTCTATGTTCATTGAATTATTGAACACTCTTAAGTGTCGTTAGACCACCTGAGTACAGTATTGGGGTTCATGAAGACTTGCACAAAATGTAATAGAATTTCCAAGGTCGTATTTAAAAAAATGAAGTTGATGGTGGCCCTGAAGAGACGAAACGTTACATACAGTGTGTTTGGTAAGTCGATGCATTCCTTGCAGGAAGTTATAGTAGAAGTGATTTGGGATATACGTATTTCCTTAATATACTATATTCCGAAAGCGCTACAGGATGTTAAAGTTTTAATAAAAAAATGCAATTTTATAAATATTGCGAAAACCGCTCAGAATATTTTAATGAAATTTTTAAAGCTTTAATAGTTGACAACAATGCATGTTTTACGATAAATATATTGTTTTCAGTTTCACCAGTGGCGTGCGCACAAGTACGTCTATGGATATTTTTAAAGAAAAAAATGATACGCCACTGATTTTTCTTAAAATAAAAATTATTTTTGAATTCCTTTTTCAATATAGAAGAGAAAAGGTATCTTGTCTGTTTTTCTTACGACGCACCGTTTTCGAGTAAAAAAATGCATCGACTTACCAAACATCTTGTATAAAAATTGATTATGCCATTCGATTGAGGGCCCATGTTTTTGAAATTCAAATCGAAGTAGTAGAGGACAACCTGTATAATTGTGTATTATGCACCATTGAACTTTAATTTGTAAAAAAGTTAAACACTGAGGATGAGTTAACAGGCAAATATTCTAACATAATAATTATAGCTGAAGGCTCAGGCTTGTTTACATTGACTCTAATGACTTTTTTTTACATTATGTAGTTGTGAAATAATACTTGTTGTATGTGTACTTCAAAATGTCTCATGTTTAATAATCCCGTAAGTTCTGTCTTCGACGCTTTTAAGTCTCCCTGACATAAAATCAAAACCATAAAATCATAAGGTAAAAATATAAATTGCATTGCAATTTTTTCAAGTCAAACATCTGCAGATGTGTTTCATCGTTTATCTGTCCCAGGTTTATTTTATGGTTCTTGCTGTATTATCATACCCGTAATTTATTTTACCCTTTTGTAACAACAAATCTCTAATCTTAATGATTCTTTACACATTTACTTTTAAGTTTAATGTTCATCATTGTCCCATAAGTACACACCCATCAGCTTTCATTCAGTTATTGTCTACATCATCATCATTACCACGTCTATTAAGTGTAATTATTTCTAATATAGTATGTGTACTCGAGTAATACATCTTTCGCCTCTTTTCTAGTCAGCAGCAATAATCACAGTGTGCCAAATATTATTTTCGTATGAAGCCCTAGGAAGCACCGTTTTCATAGCCGACTTTGGCATGTCGAAAATGATTGAACTTAGCACCAAACCGCCATACTGTGTCGTCCAACTCGATAGGTATAAAAAAAAAAATAAAGCTCCTATTTTATCCGTATATTTAGGTATTTTGAATTTCCGTCACGTATAGGTCATTCCAGATATATAAGAACTATTATGTGATTCTCAAAAGACACTAATGCAGAAATATAGAACTTTCAATTATATAAAATACTTTGTCCAACAGTTGTAGGCGTGTTACAGTTGGTTTTTATTGACTAAAATCAATTTTCAATCGCTAGTGACCAAGTTTACTTAGTCACTAAGTAGTGAAATAAAATAAAAATTATGAATTAAATAAAGAAAACAGAGTTGAACATTTAGCAAAAGTTGTATGTATTGTAAAATTAAAAATCCATCATCACGAAAATCAGAATTTTTTTTATTTATCAACAACTATCTGTGATGACAACCAAGACTTATCTATCTGGCTTTTTTAATATATCTCTTCAAGCTTGTTCTCTTTAAAAAACTGCAACTGTTGGACAAAACGTCATATATCACACGTGAGAGCGAAATGCCACTGTAATCACGTGAGAACATCTCACTTGCTTACAATGGTTACTTCAGTCACTTGTTAGTGATATAGTAACGAGCGTTCAAATAAAAACGTGGTCGAAGTTGACTCTGACACATTGGACTTAGGGAGTAGCTTATAACGACCAACTTAACCTCATTTCTCAACGAGCTGTATAGCAGCTGTCAGTTTCAATAACGTTAATGACTATATAACTTTATTTTAAAGAATAATCGTGATAACAATAACAAACAATTAAAGGAGCTGCGGAAAGTGTCCCCCTCCTTGTTCCAATCACTTTTCACACCTGTTCCTCAAAGAATTAAAGACATTTTCTAAGATGCTCGGGGTATTGTTAATTTCACGAATCTTGTCTATAAGTCGAGCCTGCAGATGGTTTAAATCAGGAATAGGCAGTTCATAAATAGTGTTTTTAAGGTAAGGCCACAAAAAGAAATTACACGGCGTAATATCACATGACCTCGGTGGAAATTCATGTTCAGCATTGAGACTTATTAGTCGATTTTGGAAAACTTCCCTCAACATATTCATCGTCTCGCCTGCCGTATGTGCCTTTGCGCCATCTCGTTGAAAGTAAAAGTTTGTAATTTCGTTTTCTTCCAGCTGGTTAACAAAAGGAGCGATAATTTCTTCTCTATACCTTTGCGCAGTAAGAGTACCATTAAAAAAAATAGGTCCATAAATCCTCCTTCGATTGAGAGCACACCAAACTCCAATTTTTTGAGCGTGTAGAGGGCCCTCGACAAAAAAGTTATCTGGTTTTTCAGAAGACCACATTCTCATATTCTGTGAGTTTACGTAACCACTTAAATGAAACCAGGCTTCATCAGAAAAAAAGGTGATATTATGAAGTTCACCGTAGTTGTTTAAAAACCATTCACAAAATACAGCCCGTCGCGGAAAATCAACTTCATGAAGTTCTTGCTGACAAGTTAAACGATAGAACAAACGCAAATCTTTTTTTAACACTGTGTGGCAGGTACCGACTGATACCTCCACCATTTGTGATAAAACACGTACAGAAGTTCTTGGCGCATTTTCCATTATTTGTTGGACATTTTCTTTTAATTCTTCAGTCTGCTTTTTAGGTCGGCCGCTTCCTTCTTTTCTTGTTACACTGCCCGTTTCACGAAAAACATTAACACAACGCTGAACTGCACTTTGAAAAATTTTGTACTCAACAACGCCGGGAAATTGATTTTGAAATTCTATGAAACATTCCTCAATAGAATACTTCCATATTCCATCAATCTTGCGTCCATTTCTAAAGTAGGACTCTGTGATAAACACTTTTTGTTCTTGAGAAAACACCATTTTAAACGCTTTTTAAAACGAAAATATTCAAATTGATAGCGGCGAACGTTTAAGTTCATTTGCTATACGCTACGCCCTACGTCCAAATTTTCAGAACCAACTTGACCACGTTTTTATTTGAACGCTCGTTATAACACCTTTACATCTGCATTTAATAAATTATTAATTCATTATTTCTCCTATACTCCTGAAACATACTATACATTGAATTGACCTAAGTAGGCAACATTTGTATTTGCTGTGGGTTAAGTGTGTTGCATACATTTCAGGGGTAAAATAAGAGATATGCTCCTAACGTCTGATCCACGACGAGTGAGGCAAATGTCCGATGATTCTATTGCTAAACTGGAAAAAGTATGTAAAAATAACCAGGTCCAGTCTCCTCACCAGGGAGGTTTCATATACCCTGGTACGAAATGGTGCGGACCAGGTAGGCAGAAGTTTTTATTAACAAGCAAGTAAGCAACCAGCAATACATTGTTATAGATTTTATTACACAGTTTGTCTAAATATGAATTAATGCACAAATAACAAACTTTCCCCCATTTTAACACAGATTTTCTATAAAATGAACTTAGTTTGAAACTCATATTACTTTTTGGTGTAAAGAAATTTGTAATTTACGTTACCCCTTGTTCAAAAACGGCAATTTCTTTAAAACAAAAAGTAATTTGAGATTCAAATTAACAAACTGTGTAATAAAATCTATAAAAATGTATTTCTGGTTGCCTATTTGCTATAGCTCTTTTAGAATTCATGTTGAAAAATTGATGATATTTCTAGGCAACATCGCAAATAACTATTCCGACTTGGGTTACCACGTAAAGGAAGATATGTGTTGTAGAGAGCACGATAATTGTCCGAAATCTCTGTCTAATGGGAAATGCATCCAAAGGATATGCAATAATTCTCCATTTACTAGGTTTGCACCCTAAAATTGCAGAAATCCAAACTAAGTTAATGTTCCTTTATTATTTTAGATCTCACTGCGACTGCGATGCAGCTTTTCGGAGATGTCTGCAAAATGTCAACACCGAAACTGCTAATACTATCGGTGCCATATTTTTCAATGTGGTGCAAGTTATTTGCTTTAAGGAGAGAACACCCTGTACACAGTGGCAGAGGTACCGATTCTTTTTCAATTTAAATCCCACCGTTTGTAGATAATACTTTTTGTGTTTGTTCTAGTTTAGTTTTCATTTATTTTTATTTTTTTTTAGTACTTTCGAAGGAAATAATTCGATATCGTCTGTATATTCCGAGAGTTTTGAAGAGCAATGCGACTATCGGTTCACAAAGTCACAGCGGTATATTGCCAGTGAAGTTCGAAGTTTTAACTTGATGAATAAAAAGGAATTTTTCATTAATATTCTTCTGAGGAAGTTTCGTTTGCTGTGATAATATTTGTTAATTATTTTTATTTATTATTTTATTAGTTTTAATAAAATTATTTTGTTATTTTTTGTTTTTATTTATTTTCTTTTGTTTCCTATTTAATATGGATGGAATTAATGAATTTTTATACACATATTTCATCATGACATTATGAATTACAGTTATGATGATTTTTTTTTAGGAATGGTTATACCAAGGCAGAAGGGGATGCGCTTTGCTCTAAAATACACTTTAGACCGTCGGAAAAGTACATTCCGCTGATGCCACTTAACACTAACTAAGAACGACATATCAATTTTTGGAAAAAAAAATAACTGTCCTTGTTAACATTTGTGCCATTTCCAGTGACAACGATTAGTAGACATTCCTAGGAATATGACTGTTTCTTTAGAAAAAAATGGCAATAAACCACAACTTGATGTAGTTACTTAGTACTAGGAGGTAAAAAATAATATGTGGAACAAGATCATATCACAGAAACATATAAAAATATATAGGGTAATTCGTATTTAGAATTAAAAAGGTCCTAATAGTTGCTCACCCGCAAAGTGTCAGTTGATTGAAACGTCTGTAATAGTTTCGTGTAAGATCGTCGACTACAACGAATATATAGGTGTTTTTTTAACCTGAAAATTTCAAATAAGTATCTCGAGAAGCACTGTACGAAAAAAAATGTCTGTAAAGAATTAAAATTAGTCTTAAAACAAATTTTATTCTAAAAAAACTTGTCAAGAAACAATCAGCTTTCAAATGAATGTATTTTTTTTAAATTTTGTTTTAAAGATAAATTTAAAAATAATTTTTATAAAAATATGTTTAAAAAAACGATATAAAAGAATATTCCTAAAAAATAAAGTAAAAATTTAAGATTTCAGTTATTTCGCCTTTTCAAGGGGTGGGGGAGAGGGACTATAATTTTAGCAATAAAGTATATTTGCCCCGTAGAATGATTAAATTTTGATTATTGATATATTTTTCGTAAAGTACTTATTTCTCGAGATATGTATTTCAAAGTTTCAGGTTAAAAAAAACACCCGTTATTTTGAGGTGTTTTAGCTGATTTAGATTTATCGTAACAATGTGATAATATGCATTAGGTTTTTAGACTATTTTACGTATGTACATACATACCAGCCATTACAAAATAGATACATGGAAAAGTAAATGAGTTGTTTGAATTTGTAGCCATTTGAATCATATTTGCCTAAGAAGCTTAATTATTTAACAGAGAAAAACGTCTACGGGTTATTTATTTACGTCATAGTTTTAGTGTTGCTTTGTTTATTCAGACATTTTACCACCTGTGGAAAAATTTAACCAAACAACCTTGCACCAAAAAGAATCAGTTAACAACTGTTTTTGCCTGACTAAAAGCTTCATATTGAAAAGAGCAGACAAACAAAAAATACGCATGTTTTTTGAAAATGGATCTATTTTTGTTTTGGAAATATAAGTGTAGTATTTTAACAGTTTAAATTTTGTTGCTTTAGCATATTCGGCTAGTCAAAAAAAGTTCTGGCCTCTATTGCTCCTTTTGTTGTAAGGGTTTAATTAATCTATATATTTTTTTAATGAATGATAAAATCCCTGAATAAACTGAAAAAACTCATAAATTCTCTAGTCAAAATAATTTAATGATATACTGAATACAACTAATTTTATAATCAAACTTATCAATGTGATATATTATGAAAGACATGATTTTGCTGACCAAGAAGTAAAACAATCATTTTTAAAAGTTATTTAATGATTTAAGTTGTGAATACAACAAATTTTACAGTCAAACTCATCAAAACAAAATACGAAAAATACGAAGAGTACCTACATTCCAATATTTTGATTGCTTTCAGATACAGTATTTTCATTTTATTATTGAAGAAAAAAAATAGACAATAATTTTACTAAGTAATTTAACGATTTCAGTTTTAAATTCAATAAATTTTACAACATCAAGACCAAATAAAAATATATAAAGTATATTCCACTGTTTGGATTTCTTGAGGTGCAGCTAGTTTTTCATTTTATCCCCCAAGAAATATTAGGAAGAATCATCTTACAAAACAATTTATTAATTTTGTGAATACGTGGAACTTTACAATCAAATTTATCAAAGTGAAATATACAAAAAAAATGTAAACATAATACATTCCAATGTTTCGGTTTCGTTTATAAATACAGTGTTTTCTATTTTGCTTCCCAAGAAGTAAGAGAATAAGTCATTTTATGAAGTAATTTATTGACTTATTATGAATATAATAAATTTTACAGTAAAATTTATCAAAAAGAAATAAAAATACGTAAATGGCATATATATTACAGTATATATCAATTTATTTAAAATATACAGGGTGTTTTTCATATCACTGCAGAAGAATCAATAAAAATATTCATTTTACAAAGTAATTTAATCACTTAGGTTGTGAATACAATAAATTTTACAATCAAGTTTATCGCAGCAATATAAATATAATATAAAAAAACAGAAACAAATTATTTCCCAATATTTTAGTCTCTTCTTTTTATGAAGTAAATGAAAGAATCATTTTACTATGTAATTTAAGGACAAACTAGGAATACAATAAATATTACATATCAATGCACAAATATAAAGATACATAAATGGGGTATATTCCAGTATTCTGATTTTTTGAAATGCAGCGTGTTGATTTTGCTGCCCAAGAAATAATAAAAAAAAATTACACTAAGTTTAAGTAATTTATTGATTAAGTTGTGAATACAGAAAATTTTACATCAAACTTATCGAAGTGAATTATAAAAAAACCCAACAGAACCCATTCCAATATTTAAGTTTGTTTTAAAGATACAGGGTGCATAAGTAAAGGTGAGGATTATTTACGAAGTAATTGAATGATTTTAAATTGTGAATACAACAAATTTTAGTTAAACATTATGCGAAATAAAAATAAATACGTAAATGAAATATATTCTTCCCAGTATTTTGATTTCTTTAAGAGATACAGGGTGTTTTAAATTTTTCCTGCTCAAAAAATAAAAGAGAACTATTTTACAAACAAATTTAATGGCTTTAATCGTGAATACATCAAATTTTACAGTCAAACTTATTAAACCAAAATATAAAAAAATATATTCCAATATTTTGATTTATTTAAAAAGTATTTCTCTTTTCCTGATCAAAAAACAAAGAAACAAATAAATTTAATAACTTAAATTGTGAATACAACAAATTTTACATCAAATTTATCGAAGTGAATTATAAAAAGACCAACAGAACCCATTCCAATATTTCAGTTTGTTTTAAAGATACAGGGTGTTTTTCAATTTGGTTCTGGAGAAGTAAAGGTGCGGATTATTTACGAAGTAATTTATTGATTTTAAATTGTGAATACAACAAATTTTAGTTAAACATTAAGTGAAATAAAAAAATAAATAAATTAAATATATTCTTCCCAGTATTTTGATTTATTTAAAAGATATAGGGTGTTTTAAATTTTTCCTGCTCAAAAAATAAAAGAGAAAACTATTTTACAAAGAAATTTAATGGCTTTAATCGTGAATACATCAAATTTTACAGTCGAACTTATTAAACCAAAATATAAAAAAATACATTCCAATACTTTGATTTATTTAAAAAATACGGTATTTCTCGTTTTCCCGATCAAGAAACAAAGGAACGAACTATTTCACAAAGAAATTTAATAACTTAAATTGTGAATACAACAAATTTTACAATTAAACTTATTGATACATGAACGGCATACAGTCCAACACCTCGATTTCTTCAAGAGGTACACAGTGTTTATTCTGCTGTTCAAAAAATAAAGGAAATAGTCTTTTTATAAAGTAATTTATTGACTTAAACTGAGAATACAACAAATTTTACAATCAAACTTATCAAAGCGAGACTTAAAAAAATATATAAACAGAACACATTTCAACGATCGTCATCAGTTGGTCTCCATCTCCATTTCATCCTTATCGTCCACTAAAAGGTATGAAAAAATTAAAACACTGAGAAACAAAAAAAAAGGTTCACTCACATTCGTTGAACATAAACTCCTGCTGGTACTCCCTAAGGAACTGGACGGATCTGCCTTCGTCAAAGAACAACTGGTACGCCCTCTTGATATCCTCCACGTCCACCTCGTGCGCTTTCCGCTTCCTCGCTATCAAACTAGAAGTCATGATGAGCTGCATCCCGTAACGCAGCGACGTCTCCTTGGAGATCCTCGTCAGGACGGTCAGGGCGTTGTCCGACATCTGACAGTCCTCTTCCTCGCAACGTATGCTACGAAAATTCACGATACAACATTTTTTTTTTAGTCGCGTAAGTTACCTCAAGATTTCCCTCAACTCTTTCTCCTCGTAGGGCTGCGTGGGAACGATGATGGTCCTGTCGAGGAGATCCAGGGGTATACCGTGCGGAGATTTGTAGGTGGTGCCCCGGATCTTAGTGATGCCGCGGTTCGTCGCCATTATCACTATGGGGGACATTTCGTTTTCCAACGCTCGGTTCAGGAACGAAAAGCATTCGATGTCCAGCATGTGCACCTGAAAAGTGATTTTTAGCCTCGGGAATTATTTTTTTCGCTGGTAAAAGTACCTCGTCGATGAATAACACCCCCGGGATAATCTCAGCCTTCCCCTCCTCCCTCCATTCCGCTACCTTGCCGTTTATTTGTTCCCGCACTTCAGGTTTTATTTCACCCGTATCGCCTAGAAATTGAAATAACCGTCAAAGGTACCAAGCAATATTTGTATCCACTTACCTGAAAATAAAGCTAAAAATCCATGTGTGCGACTATTGATTACGTCGATTTCATGCAGAGTCACTGTGTGTACGACCTCTTTTCGTTTCTGTAACTCTCCTTCGGGACACTGAACGAACCTTGTTTGTTGGCCCGTAGCATCGTAGTCTCTGGCCCTGGCAAAAGACCTGCCCAACCGAGTTATTTTACCTAAAAATCAAATATTTATAACAAATTGCGGAGTTTTATTACTCGATATTCAATTACCTGTAGCCTTATCGATTGTGATCACATCCCCACTCTGCACCTTTTCTTTCAGAATGCTGTCGATCATTTTCCCACCCAAATCGTAAACGGTCTCCATGTCGGTGGTTTTGAGTATAAGCTTGCCGACTTTGGCTCCGACCCCAGTGGCGGGCCTTTCAATTTGCACCTCTACAACTTCGCCTTCTATGATCTCGCTCTCCTCTCTAAAAACCATATTTTTACAAAAAACCGTTACGGCAAACTGAAATTTTGACATTTACTTGATCCGAACACCAATGCTTTTCCTTATAGCCTGCGTCAGGGCTTCGGTTTTGCTCATTTCTAGAGAGTATATTTCTGAACCGGCCATGCTGGTGAAAGGAGTGTCGTATCCTAACGCTGCGGCCAAAGCTGTGGCGAGAGCAGTCTTTCCCGTACCTGTTTCAAAAGTCACTTTACATATCTACTCCAACAGATGGCGATGGTAGATAAGTTTGATCAATAACACCAAATCAATACTTAACAATTATACACGATAAAATTTACCTGGTTGTCCTGCCAATAATACCGCTCGTCCGGCAATTCTACCGTCACGTACCATTTGCAAAACGATGCCCACAGCCCTACGAGCCGCGACTTGCCCGACCATTCCTTGCGAAACCTATTGCATACATATATTTAAGGATCTTTAAACGTTTGAATACACATCAGTTACTTACATGTCTTGCTTCTAAACTTTCATCTAAACCTAACCCTCTTATGTGGGAGTGTGCCCCGATCCTTTCGACTCTTGTCGTCTCGCGGACTTCGGCAATTTTTGCGGCCGCAGCAGACTAAAAAAGAAAATACACTTTACGGAACGTATTAAATTTTAATACACCGCTAAAAATTTTGAGGTTAGGATTTCGGAAGCTCTATAAAATGTAATTGCGGCTAACATACGTTTTTGATGAATTAAAAATAATCACAGAGAAGCTTTATATTTTACAAAGATTTTAAAAATACTTACCGCCATTGTATTATTTTGAATATTCCTTTTAATTCGCAATTAGTATCAAAAATGCTTCGCTTTTACTGACAGTTAGTGGTGGGCAAGATCCGCATCATACGTATAAATCATACGGATCTCTAGTGGGAATCGATTCATGCGGATCCCGATGCAAAAATAATTTCGTATGTTTCGCATCACCGCATCAATGGGAGTTGAGACTGAAGTGAAGTGAAGTGAATCGGTATCAACTGATTTTCGTATCCGATACAGGAATGAGAAAGTGGGAGGCGCACGCATACTGGGAATCAGTTCATACGTATACCGAAATAAGAATAATTTCGTATATTCGCATCACCGCATCAATGCGAATTGGGAACGAATCGGTCTCAACTGATTCTCGTGTCCGATACAGGTCGATGAGATACGATGCATTAGAAACAGTTTAGTGCATAGGAAACTAAATATTGAAATGATTTATATGAAATTGTGTAGTCTGAAACAAACTTATAATGTAAAAAGTAATTGTCAGAGTTCTGCTAAAAAATGAATTTATAGATGTTTGCAAAAAATTTGCAAATCTTGCCGTGTGGTATATTGACAGGTAATTACCTCCCCTTAAATTAATTTATAAATTAATAAATAAAACACAAAAGCAATTTGTGCTTTGACTGCTGCTACTGTGTAAAAAGAAACTGAAAAAGTAATGCGATAGTTCTTTCTTATATTGGAATTTAATTAGAAAATATACGCGACAGAGTGTGATACGATTCAATATATGAAACGGGAATGAGTGAGGAAGTACAAATTGTACTTGTACATCCGCACTGAATACGATTCCCTGATGCGGATCTTTTGATGCGGATCTTTATGTTGATACATTTCGCATCATGCGGATCATTAAAAAGATCCGTATTGCCCATCTCTACTGACAGTTTTCAAACAAACAAATTGTTGACAACGCAAAAACATGAAAGTTCCCATGTTATTCTACTTCTTCTTCTTAAATTGCATACTGATACTGTTAAACCTGTATCAGCAAGACGACGACACCTTTTTTTGTGTTCTAAAATTCTATTATTTAGTCAAATGTATGACACACTTTTATGAATTTGTTTGGAATTTATTGCTTTTAATTACTGCACTTATGTGTTGCATTGTTTTACACGCAACTAATTGCTTCTAATTAGTATTTAAACATGCGACCTTCAGGCTGATTCAATTTACGTGTTCAATATATGTAACCTGTTCGATTTTCGTCTATTATATAATTACGAAAAATAAAATGTGCGTAGAAAAAAACTTTGCGTAAGCTATATAATTAATTCCAGGTGCGGAATAACAAGGAAAAAAGTATAATCAACTGGATTAGGAGAAGTGCTATGGTTGTACGCACTTTATTTTATTTATATTTTTTGACTACATACGTTCCTGGATTTTCATGCAAATTATCACATTATATACCTACATTGTATAAATATGTGTACACGCATAATAACTTTCATCAGTGTTTATTAAAGTCTTCTTTCGAACATAACAATGCTGGCACTGATTTTTGCTGTTTTCTTTCTCGTTTCGGTAGAAGGGTCGTCGCATCTTCGTAAGTTTGAAAAATATGCAATTCCTTTCAATAATTCATTAATTATCCTGCCATTGTATTGTTGCCAAAATAAAATTGGCATTATTTTAAACGACAAATATTTCTTGTTTAGTTCTAGCAAGTTTTTTTTTCAGCTCCTGACATGAAATTGTGCCATAGATCAGATCCAAATTTTTTTCAGTGCCTTGGTAAGGCTTCAAAATTCGGCCTTAGGTCCCTTGCTAACGGTGCGTAAGCGTATCTCCTTATAGTAACCTTATTTTTGTGCAATCTGAAGTATTGATCGTTATTTTTTTAAAAGACCCCGCAATTTTATTACCTACATTTCAGGAAGTAAATACTACGGCATACCTCCAATAGACCCGTTATTCGTAGAAGAGATAATTGTAAAAGGAGAACCATCCGAAACAGTGTCTTTACAAACGAAATACAATAATGTTTATTTGCATGGAATGTCCATTTCTAATGCTGAACAGAAATTTGTGTAAGTCATACCTAACAAATATAAAATATAATTAACAAATTATTTTTAATTGGTTTTTATGGAGTGTTACTAAAATACTTGATCATATTTGAATGGAAGATGTTCAAAACTAGTAAAAACACTACTGTTTACATAAGTTGCGAAAGTTTTCGTTCTTGAAAACGACCGAGAATAATTACGTGTTGTGCCATTTGTCAAGAAAATCACAGGTGATATGTAACTCTGACGTACAGTGACGGATCCCTGTTTAAAAATACTAACTAGTTTTAAGAGTGAATTAAAATTAAATTATGTATATGTATAGTAATTTTAATCCAATTTTTTGCGATATAATAATTAATTTCAGCAAGTTGAATAAGTACTATTATAAAGTATGTGGCACTTGAGCATTTTAATGTGTTTAATAAGAACACATTAAGAGGGCTCTACAGCAAATAGGCAACCAGCAATACATTTTTATAGATTTTATTACACAGTTTGTCTAAATATGAATTTAATGCACAAATAACAGATTTTTCCTCCATTCTAACGCAGATTCCACACCAAAAAGTTATTTGAGTTTCAACATTGACAAATGTCAGTTTTCCCGTATGAGTTCGTGCTCCTTGTCTAGTCTCCTTGGTTATTTGTGTCAACTTAAACTGAATAAAAATCTGAAAATATATAAATTAAATTCTATGAAAACATGATTCGAAGTCCTAGAATTGTACCAGAAAGTGATCCAGATACAGACAATGAACTCGTAATAAAAAATTGTAAGTGCAATTCGTGTGGTTGTCTATTATTGCCCGCTTGAGTGGATGAGCAAACTTATCGCACTTATTGCACAATATACTATTGTCAGAAATTATGTAACGAGCGTTCAAATAAAAACGTGGTCAAGTTGGTTCTGAAAATTTGGACGTAGGGCGTAGCGTATAGCAAATGAACTTAAACGTCATCTGTCAAAGCGCTATATCACCGCTATCAATTTGAATATTTTCGTTTTAAAAAGCGTTTAAAATGGTGTTTTCTCAAGAACAAAAAGTGTTTATCATAGAGTCCTACTTTAGAAATGGACGCAAGATTGATGGAATATGGAAGTATTCTATTGAGGCATGTTTCATAGAATTTCAAAATCAATTTCCCGGCGTTGTTGAGTACAAAATTTTTCAAACTGCAGTTCAGCGTTGTGTTAATGTTTTTCGTGAAACGGGCAGTATAACAAGAAAAGAAGGAAGCGGCCGACCTAAAAAGCGGACTGAAGAATTAAAAGAAAATGTCCAACAAATAATGGAAAATGCGCCAAGAACTTCTGTACTTGTTTTATCACAAATGGTGGGAATATCAGTCGGTACCTGCCACACAGTGTTAAAAAAAGATTTGCGTTTGTTCTCCTATCGTTTAACTTGTCAGCAAGAACTTCATGAAGTTGATTTTCCGCGACGGGCTGTATTTTGTGAATGGTTTTTAAACAACTACGGTGAACTTCATAATATCACCTTTTTTTCTGATGAAGCCTGGTTTCATTTAAGTGGTTACGTAAACTCACAGATTATGAGAATGTGGTCTTCTGAAAAACCAGGTAACTTTTTTGTCGAGGGCCTTCTACACGCTCAAAAAATTGGAGTTTGGCGTGCTCTCAATCGAAGGAGGATTTATGGAACTATTTTTTTTAATGGTACTCTTACTGCGCAAAGGTATAGAGAAGAAATTATCGCTCCTTTTGTTAACCAGCTGGAAGAAAACGAAATTACAAACTTTTACTTTCAACAAGATGGCGCAAGGGCACATACGGCAGGCGAGACGATGAATATGTTGAGGGAAGTTTTCCAAAATCGACTAATAAGTTTCAATGCTGAACATGAATTTCCACCGAGGTCATGTGATATTACGCCGTGTGATTTCTTTTTGTGGCCTTACCTTAAAAACACTATTTTTGAACTGCCTATTCCTGATTTAAACCATCTGCTGGCTCGACTTATAGACAAGATTCGTGAAATTAACAATACCCCGAGCATCTTAGAAAATGTTTTTAATTCTTTGAGGAACAGGTGTGAAAAGTGCTTGGAACAAGGAGGGGGACAGTTTCAGCAGCTGCTTTAATTTATTGTTATAACAAGGAGGGGGACACTTTCCGCAGCTCCTTTAATTGTTTGTTATTGTTATCATGATTATTCTTTAAAATAAAGTTATATAGTCATTAACGTTATTGAAACTGACAGCTGCTATACAGCTCGTTGAGAAATGAGGTTAAGTTGGTCGCTATAAGCTACTCCCTACGTCCAATGTGTCAGAGCCAACTTCGACCACGTTTTTATTTGAACGCTCGTTAGTTTACACAGCAAGTAAAGCGTAATTTGAATAGCGGCCGTAGAAAAAATTATTTTCTATTGTAGTTTCGCTCTCTGTCACTCCGTTTCTCCGTTAATTTCATACAATTTGTCTAGAAAGACAACTTTGATATGCAGCTTAAAAAACGAATTGTAACGCGATTATTTGATAAAAAAAAATTGTCATTCCGAAGAGTTGGCAGCATTGTGCATCACATGTTGTCGTGAATGATGAGCGAGTGAAGATTGTGAAAATTCATTACAAGTATGAAGAGTGTGTACCTGAGACTGTGCGTAAATTACGTGGAATTTTCGTTTGACCAAAGATTTTAGTTATAAATTACTCCCTCTATTTATAAAATAACGACCTTTTCCAGGTTAGATCTGGGTGAAAAGTGCGGATGGGTGATAGAAGCATTAACCCCTCTTATTAGGATGGAGGCTGACTATGAACTAACGGGGAAGCTGTTGCTCTTTCAGTTAAACGGACATGGAAGATGCAACATAACTTTGTGTATGTTTACTCACTGATCTACATTATTTAAAATAGGTGCGACACTGAGATATATAGGGTGTTCTGAGAGTCCGTCAGGAAACTCCGGGAGGTGATTCTACGGATTAAAATAGTAACAGTATGTACAGCATGTCAAATTTCAATTTTTTTATTTTTCTATTGAAATAACTTATTTAATTCAAGTTATATTAGTCTCTCATTTGACACACCCACTAATAGACTAGTAAATGAAATTTGTAATACATGCAAATCAAAAGGTAATTCGTTTCAGATTGAAACTTGGTTTAATCGTTAGGTTAGGCAAAAAGAAATAATATTTTCCAAAAAGTATCGGTTTAAAACAACAAGATTATTGTTTAAACAATGATTATAATGTAAAAATTACCAAAAATTGAGTTTTTTAGCTGTATTAAAAAGCGCTTCCCAACAGGAGTTTTTGCTTTTGTTTATACTTATAGGTTTTCAAAAAACGCTTCATTATGAGCTGCTAAATTAAAATCCATTAACAATTTGTTTAATAATTGCAAAAAAACAACGAAATTTGAATTTGTTATAAATAGAAGAAAAGAGCATAAATCGTCTCTAAACTGCAGTAAAAGTTGTATTTTACTACGCTTAAGAAACCCTGAAAATTTGGTAAAAAAATATTTATTTGTTTACGAGTTTTTGCATTTGTTTATTAGAAATAACATTTTTTCAATTGCAAAAACGCGGTTGTTAGCGTTATAATAAAGGCCCTTATGAGGGCTCATTTGTTTCATCATGACTTTTGACTTATATTTTCAAGATATGCAATTGGAAATTGTAATTTCATAGGCTAACCTCCTCAAAACGGTGTATAAACAAATAGTGTAATTTGTTTATAAGGTTTTTCGTTAATAACTTTGCGAAGAATGAATATTTTTTAAAGCCGCTTTGATATTCGTAATCCTGGGAATTTTTCTCGAATTAAAAAAAAATTGTTCTAGGATCATTTTTAGCCGAGAAGCGTTTTTTTTTAATTCATAACTTGTTTATTTATAAACATTAAGATTTGAAATTTTGGAAATAAATCAATCAACCCTTAAACTTTATAATAACGGTTAAAGATATCGAAAAATTGCATTTTATAGTAAGTTTTAATCCTTTAAAAAACGTACTCGAATACATTTTTACACCTGGAATGTGGTGGGGGAAATAAGACAGAAACGTTTCGAGACATCAAATTTTAACTGCCCGAAAATTTCGCGATATCCGGTAATTTTGGACCAATTTTAACGTTTTTTTTTTAATCTGGGGTAGCGCATGAAAATAATAACAACTGCGCGGTTCATTTTGCTATAATAAATTATTAATTCGTTATAAACTATTAATTTTGTAAAAAAAAATTTTTTCGCATTTTTTCGAGAAATAATTATTCACAATGGTACCAATAAACAATTTTCTTAAAAAAACATATTTTTATGTAAAAAAAACTTGTGTCGAATAAAACAGAACTGTAACTTTTCGCAAACTTTTTGAAGACAGGCGTGTTTTGCGACAGTTGGAGTTTTGTTTTTCGGGTAACGCTCGAAAGCGGTCACATCAAAAGGTTTGGAGCCTACCAAGCTAAAATATTTTCAAGGTCATCGTACTTCCGGTTATACCGGAAGTTGATACTAACTTTCTTATTTTGAATGGTACCCGCTGTATATTATTGCAAAAAAAATAGGGGATTCCATTTTAAAATTTCGAGCTTTCCACATATTCTGAACTTCATATTCGATACATTATTTTTGACCACCATGTATAAAAACTGGAAAATTTTCATGTCAAATTCGATAAAGTAGGTCTTCCTCTACAAAATGTTCAATTTGCACAAAAAAATAAACCGGGAAAACTAAATTTTGCTGACAGTCTGCATCTGTCAATTTTTGTATAAAAAAATATCTCGGAAACGGTCAATCCTAAGTATGGAGTGTGCTATATGTTTTCAACTTAAAAATGGATGATGTTTCCAAAAATGCAATAATATACAGGGGGTTCCATTTTAAAATAAGAAAGTTAGTATCGACTTCCGGTGTAACCGGAAGTACGATGACCTTGAAAATATTTTAACTTGGTGGGCCCCACGGTTCGTATCACACCACCACAATTTCAAAAAAATCCTTAGAGCGGTTTCCCAATATCCGTCGATGGAGTTCGAGGTGGGACACTCTGTAGACACTTACTTTTTTTCCAAGGACTTCAGCCATAACTAAGAATAAAAAAATCTTCTCTCCTTCCTCGCGACAACCAGTGGGAAAGGACCGAAAACAAAAACAAAACTCGAACAAAATGTAGCCCGCTGATGGAAACAAGAGTTTTAGGTTTGTTTCAGTTTTGTTTTTGTTTTTCAGGTTCTAGAAAACACAAACAGGACATAAACTCAACTGTCCGTTTCGTGGAAAACCGCCATCACTAGAACGATTAGTCGGTGTTTGGACTTGTTTTGCGAATCACTGATTTGTATATTTTTCCACGACGTTTTTCTGTTTGCTTTTTATATTAGCATTCTTGATTATCATGATCAATTTATGGGAAAACTCGCTGCATTGGGTTCATTTAGTTCATTTTTTTTCATTTATGCTTAATCGTCTTATATTGAATTAATAGCTGTAGAAACTGGACCTATTTTTCAGATAACCTGTGGAACCTCCACACCATGACCTGCGAAAAGTATACCGCCGAGGGCAAAACTTACTTGAAGATAACGAATTACACCATACACTTACGTCCCGAGAAATTACATTTCGATTTGACAAATATCTTTCCGGCCAACGAACAAATCGCCGCCGAAATCCTGAAAACGATGAATGAAAACTCCTTGATCATATTCAACGACATCAAAGGTGGATTCGAGCAGATCTTCTCCGAGATACACTGGGCCATGGCTAATAAGCTGTTCAGCAAGGAACCCATCAATGAAATATTCTTAGATTAACCGTAGGATCTGTAGTTGTCTTCGTGTACAGGTGTTAGGTTGTGTCATTAAAATATTTTAATTTCTTAAGGTGCGTTTACATTAAAATATCAGCTATAAAGCCTAATTTACACCTCTTCGACAGAGATTGTTACTTGTCGTAGTTTGCCCGTTGTTTTAGGTTTCGCTTCATTCTATTCTTCTATTTACTGAGTGTTCTATTTTGTGGTTTATTTTTACTTCGTTGAAAATTCTATTCCGTCAATGTTTTCAATTTTCTGTGTAACTTTTAAATGCAGGTACTCTCAGTGTCAATGACCTAGATTAATTGAACTATATGCAAAATAAATAGGGACGCAATTAAGAAAGTTAAAACAGGTAATATTTAAAAGTTATTCTACGAATTCGTAAATATGCCCATTGTTATTTTTTCGTCGAGCTACCCCAGTTTAAAATAAAATATGTTTCTACGATGAATAGAAGCCGAGATATTGCAAAATTTACAGCGCGCATCAATTTGAACTTTGGAATTAACGCGCGCGCAACCACTTGGACGAGCTTCCCCCACCGCCACGCCGCCGGCCGCCGGACAGTTTACTTAGCGAGTACCTTCTCTTTAAAGGGCTCGTGAGTCGTTAATTTTCCACATTTTTCAATGCAATTCACGGGAAATTGTAGTTTACGTCGTAAACTGTATTTTGCGAAAAATTCTAGTCTTAATATTTATAAACAATTGCGCTACGATTAAAAAAAATTCTTATCTTGGCTCCTGTTGGTCGTAGAGGGTACTTTTTTTTAACTATTTTTTTGCCAGCTGTCCATTGCATCTATTTTCGGTGAGATAGTATAAATAGCAACGATGTTATTCAAATTGTCTGTAAGCGAAAAACGCACGGTTTTTTAATGCACAATTTGAGAATGTTAATGTCAAAAAAACGGTGATATTTTTTTAATAGGTCGCTTAATTACGTCTTTAAGATTACAATGACGCTTTCAGAATCATGTTTCGTTGAAAATTAATGCCTGTACAGAGGCTTAAAGTTCATAACTTGTGGAGCCTCCGTTATAAACAAATAGAATTGTGCGAAAACTATTGCACCTACAGTGCCCACTTTTGGCACACCTTTGAAGCATGACAAAACCCTCAACTTGTCATAAGTTTTATAATATTTTAACAATAAATGCGATAGTTATAAACAAATTAAAAAATGGGAACTTTTCTTGTTTTTTTGCAATAACTTTTTTGTTTATTAACCGATTTTAATTTAACAAGTCTCATTTTGTAGATGATTTTACTCCCTATAAGCTGACTGTGAGACACTTTTCGCTAAAATTGATGGTTTTCCCTGCAAAGTAAAAAAACTGTTTTCCTCACTTATTTGTTTAAATAGAAAAGTTAGCTAATAAAAGTTTTTGACTCACGAGATGAGAGATGTCTTGTATTATGTTCCTTTAGACTAGACAATTTTACAATAATCTCGCGGATAGGACTTTTTCGAGTAAAAATTTAATTTGCTTGGTCTAAAAGAGAAAGGCAAATGAAATTGGTAAAATTGATTTTAAAGAAATAAATTATAAGTTGAAAAAGTGTGACCAATATGGGTACAATAGATGATTGAAAATAAGAAAGAGAAGACAAAATAAATAAAAATGAGTAAATAATCAATTAAACATTTTCGTAAAAAATTAATTTCAAACAAAATTTAAAGAAATGTAATGTAATAAAGTACATATATTCGAAATTTAAAATGTGATTGTTAATAAAAATTTGGATTACTAGAATTAGAAAGTGATTTAAAAAAAAATAGTTGAACATGAAAAGAAAAAGAGTGAGATAACTAAGAAAGAAAAAAAAAATAAATTGGGGAGCTGACAGCTAAAGTTTTGAAAATAAAATTTTTAATTTAAATGGAAGATTTTAAAGAAACAAATGTATTCAATAAAGAAAAACAATTTATAAGAAGGAGTAGAAGAAAACATTCTCAATGACTAAATTAATTGAAGATTACAGACAATAGAAACTTGAGTAAGTCCAATAACAAAACAAAGTTAACTGTTATAGAGTATTATCCAGTATCGAGTCAACACAGATCTAATCCAAGTCACCGACAGGGAATAGTAATATAAAAATATCAGCAAGGAGATAAACAACAAGGAGTTATATGACAGATGACAAGTCAGGAACAGAAGTTGTGGTAACAGGTACAGGAAAGAAATAGAGGAGATAAAGGACCAAGAAGAAAAGAAATTAGTGTATTAGACAGTGGTAAAGAGGTATAAACCCCTAATATAATACCGACTTGTGTTTTTAATATTTAAATCCAAATCTTGAATATTGTTACTTAGTTTAAGTTAGAGTAGAGGAAGCGGCGTAGGTTTAATTTAAGAATACTTCTATTGATAGAAACTTGAAAAATTTTGGATAAATAGTAAAATAATAAGTATTAGCCAATCACATAATTTTTATTTTAATTTGAAATATATTGGATCGGAGTAATTAAATTAATTAGAAATTATTTTTACGAGAAAGAGAAACTGTGGTTAGTTAAAATCTCAGAGGAATAAGTAAACATAGAGGACACATTAAGGATTTGTTGACGCAACCGGAACGTTTTTGTTTACAAACTGTAATATTAGCGCGGTTGACATATTTCATAATAGTCATTCCTAATCAAATGTTAAGCGAAAGAGTTTTAGTAATTAAATGGTGATAATCTTAATGTTATTTACCATAGACATTTTGCATTTTAATTGAGATGCAATTATAATATTGTTGTCATCGTTATTTTGAATTTATATGCTCTAAGAAATCGGCAGAATAAGTTCTTTTTTTACGGGCTGGCAACAATGTTGGTTAGTTGTATGTTTACATAGAGCTGCAGAGGTGCATATTTATTTCGTGTTGATAAGCGATATTTTGGAGAATCTGTGCGTTGGCCTGCTATTTTACTGTATTATAGACAATTCTAGAGTAAGAGACAATGGTTAAAAGTAGAGAAACGTGTTCGTTTTTCAAATCGTATGGAGACGTCAACCTAACCTATCATAGGTAAGTGTTTTAAAATGTTTTCTGACCATTGGCGTAGAATAGCGAAATTCCACTAAAACAAATGTGATATTAATATGTGATGTTTTTGTAGGTTTCCATCGAATGTAGAAAAATTGAAAATATGCTGTGATGCACTAGGACGTGTTTGAAAAAATTTGAGATATTCTGAGATTTCAGAAAACAAAAAAGCTAATGTAGCTCTTGATAGCACAGCTATTTTACATTGTTCAAGTGTCTTACCAAAAGTTGAGATTAATACTACGATGCATGAGTTACACAACAATAATTTGTATTGCACAAAAGCGAGTACATGGAACTTAACATTGTATTGCCAAGATGTAATAGCATATGCTGCCGGTTTTGTAGCTAGACAGTTAAAAAAAATTGTAATCTGCAGTTCCTGCTTGGAGATTATTGAAAGTGATGAGATAATTTCAAAATTGTAAATAAGAAAAACATATGGATGCTTAACTAAAGCTTCTCACTTTGTTATCGAAGTTTGTAAACATGCAGAGAAATATTTTTGGAGTTACTTACATTTCTTTAATGTAAAGGGCAAAAAGTTAACTTTAATTTCACAACCAATTAAACCAATAAGAATATTACTAGAGTAGTAGATTTTTTTGATCTTTTATAAATATAATAAATAAGCACTATTATATAATATTTCAAGTATAAGTTTAAAAAATTGCAGAAAAATTATATATTTTAGTTAATGTAAATAATTTTAGAAATAAAATGTTTGAAATATCTGTAATTTTTAAAGGAAACTACTTTCTAAAAATCAATATTGTGTACTGTCAAACCTAGTCGAATGTGTAGGTATACGTATACTAATAATTTTTTTATTAAATGATTAATAACTATGATTTTCAACTCAGATGTGCCTAATACATAAAATAGTATCATATACAAATTAATAAATTGAAAATTAATCATAATAATGCAAAATATTTTGTTCCTTCAATTGAAATAAATATATCAACTTGTTTAAAGAATAGTACCCAAGTTTTATTTAATTTATATTCGATACCTCTGTACGTATTTGGGCACGCCACTGAAGTGTATTGTTTACTGCACCTCTAGCAGCTATTTTTGTTTTTCCTACTCACTCTATTATCTATCTGTTGCTATTGACTACAAATGAATGTTATTTAGTGCTTAGGACCTCTCTATGTTTACTTATTCCTCTGAGGTTAAAATTCAAATATAAATTTTTTGTCTTTTTTTTCTCAAGATTAAGTATCTAAATTCATTAATCAGTATAACATTTTAAAATCGAAATACTAATATTCTCAGATCCTTACCCTGAGGTAAGACTACTTGTATTAGATAAAAATTTGCTTGAATCTTAAATTATTTTTTTTTATACAAACAAAGACTTTCTCTATAAACATAAACAAAATTTGAATTAAATTACAACTATATGTTCAGTGAGCTGACGCCCAGAAAACAAAGAAGAAGAAGCGAAGCGGAATAAGTAAATTCAGGTAAGAAAATTACCATCTCACAAGAATTTATAACAATACATAGACACATTGTATATAGAAGAGTTTATATGGTTATAGCCTATTTTTTGTCAGGAGAAAACGATGCTCTTGCGAGAAAGTTAGAACCAGAAGTTTTAAGCTCCGTGGAAGAGTACAAAATAATTTGAGTGGAATATATATTTTTTACGTAACCTCTCACCTCTCTTTCACAGTCTATAACTCCGTTGTTTTTCAACGAATCTTGACGATTTTTTTTAACTTAAAGCTCTCTTCATAAGCTTTCCGAATATGTAATAATATATAAGTATATCACGCGCGTGCGTCGTATATTTCATTTTGCAACTAAAGCTAAAAAATAAAAAACTTTCCAGGTTGCAAATTTGAAATTAAAAAAAAATGATAGATTTCAATGTATTATTATGAAATCTCCCATTGTGGAAGATGCTCGGGATCGTCCAGACTAATAATTAGTTAATTTGTTTATAAGGTGTGTTATTAGTGGTAAGGAATGAGAGGATGCGATGCCAAAACGTTCTGGTAATAATAACGGAGTTTATAAATGTTTAATTCAAGTCATAAATAAAATTCTTCTGTTTATAACTTTTGGTCTAATCAATACTTTTTGACGCTCGAGGGCTAATTTTGTAGGTCTTTTGAAGACGAAAAAAGTATTTTACTGTTTTCTCGTGGAAATGAACGGAAAAAGTTATAAGCGAAAAACGTGAATTTACGTAAAATTATACAATTAACCAGCCTGTAAACAATCTTCCCTCCATTTTCATGACTGTGGAAACTAATATGTTATTGTACATAATATTTAGCATCTATAGTGATAAATTCAGCTTGCCGAAACAAAAAGTCGTGAAATGATCATTTCAAAATTCACTAAAAAAATTTGGAAATTTTTTAGGTCCCTTAATTTCTTTGTTGAGTTTGTAAAATACGAACTATTTAGATTTTAGATTTTTCCGTGGATTTATTCAGTCTCAATAATTTCCCAAACAAAATTCCGTAAAAAATCATTCATGCGAATTTTATCCTTGGTCTCGAAATATGAAGAATGATAAATATTGGAGCAATTCAGACGAAGTGGTTTTTACCTGGATTTGACTTATAATTGCAACCGTGACCTCTTTCATTGTTGAGGAGCATATACGCTATTCCATGAATAGAATTTGGTCTTGTCGCGGAGAATTATCAAGCTCTCTGTTAAGGTTAATATACGTAGCTCGGTCCGGTATGCCTTGAACTGCCCCTTTTAAAAAGATGTTGTTTTAGTAAAACAGTGCGGTATGATCAGTTTTTGTCAAAACGCCGACTAGCTAGCAGTGGAAAAATATGATTTTTTTATTGGGTCTGGTTTTCGGCGTCGCCGTCGTCTCGGGCGCACACTTACGTAAGTATATTTATTTTTTTAATTTTCTAATCATAAATTGTTTGTTAATAACTTAATATTTCACTTGAGCATTTAGTGTACGTTTATATCATGAAAAAAATATTAATTTGACCCCACGATTTTGCATTTTCTGCAATTTAAATTTATTCAGCTGTGTTTCTGGTTATTTTAAGTTTTATAAAGTTACTTAAAAAAAAATAATAAATGGGAATTTACGGTTTTTAAAAATTAAATGTGCATTTATCCGATTTTCAAAACACTTTGTGGCTTTGAAACTATGGATTTCTTGGAATAAATGCTTTTCAGTATCTCCGCCAGTGGTTGACAAATTCGTACACAGGGTGTTTGTAAGTGCGAAATATTTTAGGGGGCGGTTGTCGAAGAAAAAAAGTTCATATAAACGTACATTACATTTTAATTTTTTATTTATATTTATTAATTATTATTTCAGAGTTGTAAAGATATTGACTCGAAATTTGATGGTTGTATTTTATTTAAAAATATTAACGGCAATCTACTAAATAACGTATCAATAGAAATTAAAAATACACAATTTGCAATAAAATATGTTTGATTTTTTTTCCTCAAAAACGATGCATCCTACGAAAAAAATTGAGGAGATCAATTTCATTCAGAATTGATAGCGGATTTCTAAAAAAAATATCAAAACGGGAAAAAGTCAGTGGCGTACCATTTTTTTTCATTCAAAAAGTTATTGCATTCTCGCACGAACGCCACTGGTGCAAGTAGAAATATTCGAATCTCCACAAAAAATGCACATTTATCCCTCCAAAGCGATTTTCAAATTTTGAGTCAATATCTTTAAAACTCCCTAAAATATTTTGCACTTATTTACAAACGCCCTGTATAATAGTCGTTATATTAATTTTTTTTTGAAATTCAAAACGATTTTCATGTAAATGGCATCTTTTTTCTGAAATACAACCTGCTTAAAAAATTTGTATCGTTATTTCCGCGACACCCTATACAGGATGATAATTAAAAACATCGACAGACTTTGCGGATCACTTTTTGGGTAATTTTAAATCAAAAAGCACTGGTCCGCAAATCGATGGTTTTCGATAGAGGATACTGATCTTTAATAAAATTTCACCTCATATAGGGTGTTATTTAAGTACGTGGTAAAATTTCAAGAGGTGTTTCTTTGAGTGATTCTAAGACGAAAAGTTTATATAAACATAGCTTCGTTTTCAAGATACAGGGTGTCAAACTTTTTAAAAATATAGTTTTTTTCGTAAAAATCTTAATCTTATAACCGATTTTGTTGAAATTTGGCAGAGTTATTTATCTAATTTAGCCCCAACTAGATTAAAATTATTAAGTCCAGTGACGTCCCGTGTGGCACCTTAACCAATATTTTTGACAAAAAAAATGTGACTGACTTTTATAATTTTTTTTCGTATTAAGCAACCAAAAACTTTTTTGTCTCTTGAATTTTTTTCATATCTTGTTTCCCTTTTGAAGAAAAAATCACTATTGTCCATAGACAGCAATAAAAATTTTTAATAATTATTAATAAAACCCAAAATTTTTTTTAGCAAGCATTAATTTTTATAGCAATTTCTAATACTAGACTAGACTATTGATATTAAAAAAAATAACAGGTACACCCCACTTTTTGATAGTTTGGTAGTTTTAATTTTTTTATGTTGTCCCAAGAATATGCAATAAAGTGATTTTTATTTTATTTTCTCCAAAAAGGAAGCAAGATACGAAAAAAATTCAGGTGACAAAAAAGTTGTATTTTTAGTTGCTTAATGCGAAACAATTTATAAAAAAATGTTAAAAGTCAGTGGTGCACATTTTTTTTTCAAAAATATTGGTTAAGGTGCCTCCGCGACGCCACTGGACTTAATAATTTTAATTTAGTTGAGGCTAAATTAGCGTCATTCTACTATAAATAACACTGCCAAATTTCAACAAAATTGGCTAAAATATTATTACGATTTTTACGAAGAAACGATTTTTTTTTAAGTTTAGGTCCCTGTATCTTTGAAAACGAAGTATTACCAGATCTATGTATTTTTAGCATACCTTGTGAATGTTGAAAGATGTCTCGATCTGTAAATATTAGAATAGACGAGCTTAAAGATTACCTTAAAAAACAAGAATTTTAGAAATAAAAAATTTGCGATCACGCTTGGGAAAGCGGTCTTATAATTCAATGAGCCAAAATTTTGAGAAAGAGAAGTAAGTCAAACCAACACTTTAATTTTTCAAAAAAAAAAAAACGAACATTTTAATAATTTTAATATTACTTTGCAATCCTCGGGCCTCACGTTGAGCGCCAAATTGTGACGTCTCTAAACTAACTCACTTTCTTAGCAAAAATAATACTCATTGTCAGTTACCGTTAAATTAAAATCAAAAGGGACCGTGATTATTTAGTTGAACGGTGTTGCAAGTTACTATGTCTACTGTGGATCTTTGTTAAACATATGATATCTCTAACTATGGAAACAGGCTTAAAAAAAAACAAATTTAAACTGTCAAAAAAATTAAAAAGAAAATAAAAATAATTTCAGAAGACGAAAATAGATATATTTTCGAAACGTTGGCAACTTTTTAAAGTGCGTGATATAAATTGATGTTTTTTGTATTTTGTATTCGTCCGCTTTTTTCAGTGTTATATTTTTGGGCGGACAAACTATTTTTATAATAAATAACCCTTGGCTTATTTGTTTCATTATTTTTTTAAATTTTGTTCATAGGCAGCAAAATATACAAGAAAAGAATCACATTTTCTAGAATAGCTCTGCGGACTTTATATAAAATGACGGAACTTACGCTAATGATTCATGTAATTAAACGTAAAAATCGGGCTGAATTCTAATATAAATAGGTGTACCAGTAGCGGACATATCGGTTAACTAAAAGCTCCGGAAATTCGACGCCATTTAATATTTTGTAAATTGTCGCTACTTCTAACCGCTTATGACGTTTCCCAGAAAATAGATATTTTTACTTCATTATAAGATTTTAATGGGCCTTATTTAAAAAAAATACCACTTAGTTGTACATCAGGCACCATTATAAAATCTATATTATATTGTAATAAAATTAGCGACTGGTTGTTAATTGAGTTGTTAAAAGTAATAACAGTTGAGAGGGTATTATTTACGTTATGATTATAACATTGCATTTGATGTATTATTAGAACATAGAAGTGAATATTATAAGTTATTTAACTTAGTTATGCCTTGTTCATCTGAACAAGGCATAAGTTCATGTATATTTTTTTAAACAAGCTTTTAGTGAGCTTTTTGTCGCCAAAATGTAGCTATTTTTATGCTCTTCAAACTATAGTCTGTTTAGAAATGAAAGAGAGTAATAAAAGCTTATTATGTATGCAAATCGTAAATAAATGTAGTACTGGTGCTTATATTCAATATTTTTATATTATGCATTATCCGTATAGATGAGGTGTACTTTTAAAAAAACTTTGTGTGACCGGGTTGTACTAAATTGTAGCAGGTAGCTAAAATTTAATCTCCGACAATCCGTCTTTGTCTATGCCGCTTCAATTTCTCAGTCCATTTCTCTTATAAGTAAACAATATAAAAACAGCATTTCAAAACATGAGGCTACTTTAAGCATCTTATCCGGGTTAAGAGGGTTTTTAGTAATTCAAATAAAATTATTCAATATTATTAACAAAATATTTATTTAAATTTAATGAATAGACTTTTATACCACACAAAAATATATGTATTTTGAAAATTCAAATTATGGTGAGTAAATGTTTTGTTGTATAAATGTACAATAAAGAAAATAAAAAAGTAGGTATATTAAAATTCATCCTCTGAATATTCTGATGAATTATCTTCGTCTCCTAGATTGATAACGATAGGTTCCACAGTAACGTCAATTAAATTATCGAGTTCCTACATTTTCTCCTCTTCTTTTTGTACATGATGTATACATCTTTGCCAGTTATCTGCAGTTACTCGTTTCAAGCAATTTTTTAACAAAATTTTCACGGCACTTAATTTAATCGTCGTATTATTTCGCGCTACATCTCCTTTTACCTGCGCCCAGACTAATTCGATTGGGTTAAGTTCACAGTGATAAGGTGGTAACCGTAGTACCGTTATTTGGCAATTTGTTGCCATTTAATCGATAACATTAGTGTTACCCGATAATTACCTGAAACGAAATATTACCACGCCCATGGCCGGTTCTTATATCGGAGTTTTTTTACTCTCTTTCATTTCCAAACAGACTATAACATATAAAAAATTTTAATCCGTTATTTCACTTTTTGATAATTTTTTTGTGCTGAATTCATTTACGTAAAGAAAAGAAAACTATAGCATTGGATATTTTTGAGAAAAATCCATAAAACGTTATTCTTTTGAAATAACGCCATCTTTAGGTTTCCATATTGAGGTAAACGACATTACGCATTCATCACGAGATAAAGCATGAAAAGACGAGGTATAACACTATGGGCTTTTGATGAGCCAATCCTTAAAAAAATGCTTTTTTCTGATCAGACATTAGGGGCTTCCCCCACCCCTTCTGTCTAGAGATACAACAAAATGTCAATAACAAAAGTTATGCGAAATGAATCCGGCTATCCATATTTGTATACCTGAATAGGAAACATTTCTAAAAAAAATTCCACTCTATGTTTCATTATGTAGATTGCGCCCCTTGGAAAACTTGTAAAACTATTTCCAGCGATTTCTCTTGGTGATTTCACTTTAAATACAGAAACTGCAGGTATAGATTAGTTTACAAAAAATAAGAAGAGTTTGCTCTATAAACTTTTTTTTGGGGGGCGTGGTATTCAAGATACAGGGTGTTAAAGTTTCCAAAAAAAAATATATTTTCCGACAAATATTCATATTGCGCTGAACGATTTGAATGAAATTTACTACAGCGTATTCGTTTAATTAGACCTTTTATTGAATGTAATATTAACCTCGCGACGTTAACCAATGGCGTGCTACTAAAGGTGCCGCTCCGTTTTCCCA